GGGTTGGGGCAACTGGAGTTGGGCAAAACAATGTAATGTGATAACACAAAGTGTTCCAGTTTTGGGGGAAAAATGAGGTTTTCATATAGAAAGGTAAGGAACGAAGTACATGCCCACAGTCATGAACACACACACACACACACACACACACACACATCTCTATGGATCATCTCAATAAAACTTAACATGTATCTCTTCATCCACTACATTCTCACCCCCTACTTAGTTTGTTGAGGGTGGTTTAAGTCTTACAAGAAGCTACATGGGATAAGAATCCCAAGCTCTATTCTTGGAAAGAAGGAGGTAGGTTTTAATGCAAGGTTAAGTTTAATTCAGATACTAAAGCTTTTATTCAGACTTCAGGTTAGTCATTTACAGCCACACCAAGCATTTCAGTTAGAGTACCCTCACAGGAAAGGAATGCATTGTTCTCCACTGGCTTTCAAACACCTCTCTGAAAGACAGACTTAAAACAGTTAATCTGAGAAAGAGAAAAACAAACCAAAAAATCCTCCTCGGTTAGATTTCTGCTTGCACTCAATTGAGGTCCTGGTTGGTGCAGTAATGAACTTGAAAGGTGCCTTGGACAGAAAGACAGGGCTCAGAAAAATCAGCCAGTGAAAGCCTTAATACTCTGTGCATTGGCTGCTCTGGCCCCTGCCATACTACCTGGATCTTACCCCAGGAATGTACGTACACAGTAGCTTTTTCCGTATGCCCCTTTTGCAATTTTTTAAACTTACCTCAGTGGAAGGTTGAAAGTGCGTGTTTGTGTGTGTGTGTGTGTGTGTGTGTATAAGTGAGAGTCCTTCAGTTGCTATTAATGTGTCAAAATGATTGATTCCTTTCAAAATAAATTTAGTCAAAATTGTTTATTACTACTTTTCTTCTTGTTTACTGAAGTATGAATACTCTAACATTTTAATGCATTTTGACTTAATTGAGGCAAAAGAAAAAGCTGAGACAAAAATCCCATTGAAAAAAAAATGACAATTTCAGAGTGAAGATGCTGTATGTGCATAAGGAAAACTAGCTTGAATATTTTATGTTTTATATCCAGACATTAGTAGCACATACAAATCTATTATATGGGCAGCCACCTACTCTGATGTACGTAATGCTGAAGACAAAAATACACTGTAAGTTAAAAAAATCAATTAACAAAATTTCCATGGAATATGTTAAAGCACAAATTAAAAAGTAGCAAACTACTAATTCCTGAATGAATGATTTTTATCTTTATTAATTATATCATTTTTTCTTAAAGAATTCAGTTATTGGAAGCTGTCTTTAATTTTGAAAAAGTTGTTTGACATACATATATAAATATTTACACATATAAACATTTACATATATACCTTTTCACAGATGAGAACAGTAAGATCCCCATGGACTGAAAGTTAGGAAACCCAGCTTCCTGTCCTGGTTCTGTAAATAACATGCTATGAGATTTTGAGGATAGTTGCCCAATCTTCCTAGGTTTCTTATTTTAGAATTCCAATATACTTTGCACTTCTATTTTGCATTAAGCTAAATGTCTTACTTCAAGTATCATGTCATTAATCTGTATCCTCATGTATAATACTGGTCTCATAAACTGAAATAAGCTCTGAGTTTGATGAATTAAAAAAACAAAACAAAAAGTAAACTTTACTCTTCTGAAGCCTAGGGACCTGGGACCAACTGGGTAGTCACTGTTCTTTTTAATTTTTTCTTTTTAATTTTTTCCTGTGAATTAGGTCGTAGGTGACTTTTCAGATCATCATTCTGGCATCCAACAACTTAACCAGCGTATCACATCTCCCCATAATTTGCCCATTCCTCCGAACTCCTTCTGTTTTTGTTGTCATTCTTCCTCCTGTAGGACCTTATTGTCCCCTGCACCCCAGGGAACACCTATCTATCTCGCTAGCCTGTGGCTTCTCCTTAGAGCTGGTGTGTTTACATCAGCCTTGAAAGAATGCTGGAGTCAACAGATAACATTTGCTTCAATGTTTAAATCTGTGATCCACAGGTACCCATTTGTAAACTATTAAATGGGTGGTGTTTTCTTTATGATTTTTAGTGCTTCAAGCAATACTGATCTATGGCTTCCTTGATATTTTCTATGTTGCTTTGAAGTGGATAATCGGTGGTTTGTTTCATTTGCCCTCAGATCCGTTCGCTTTTTTTGAATGAAGTTGTTTCCTGAAAGAATATTTTAAGAGAGGCTAGTGGATGGGGTTGGAAGGCAAAAACACAAGGGTCAGGTGTTTGTTTGTTTTTTACATTAAATTAAATTAATTAGTTATTTTTTTAAGGGTCTGCTTTCATTGCAAAGAAATTCTGGCATTCATCTCAAAACAGTGGGGTGTGTGAGCTTTGGTGAGTGCTCAGGTATTCCTCGTCAGCACAGTGGAAGGCAGATCACCTGAGAAATGCACAGCTTTGCTGGGTGTTGAGAGAGTTGCTGAATTGTAGTCTTCTACATCAATCTTGCCTCCTTGCCATTATCCTGCACACTGCGCAGGGGGAGCGGGCCATGAACCACTGCTGTAGAAGCGCTCGTTTAGTTGTGTTACTACATCCTGCTAATTTTTATGAGTAGTGGGGGAACCATTTAAAGCAGACCTATTGTGTTGACAAATGTTCATTGCGAAGCAATGAAAGTTGAATTATTTTCCCATCTCTAATCTTTCCCCCCCTTATTCGTTACTGATTAGAAGTGTTGCTTGTATTGCTTTAGGAACATTTGTAGTTAAATCTTCCTTGTAAGTTACATTATAAGAAGAACAAATGAGTATACTTTATTTCTTTAATTAGTTTGCAAAGTATTTAATTATTGTTATAGGGTTTAGAGCCAATGCATTTTAACATGAGCTACATTTTAGGAAGTAGAAGTAACATTCTGCTGGTTTGTCCCTTGGAAAAATGAGATTCCCCACCACACAAAAGCCATTTAAAAAGTGTATACAACCTTGAAAAATTAAATAAGATTTCAAAGAAGAAAATAATTATCATCCGTATGCCTGTTACTAGGCTCCTAATAGGGCCCATTGGTCTGGGTTTCTGTACACCCCCAGGGGAGGCAGGCCATGGGCCATAGAATACTGTGACATTGGACCCTGCATCTTCTAGATATACAACATTTTCCAAAGGCCATACCAGAAGGATGTGATGTGGAGACATGATTAGGTGACCTGGGATTTACCTTAAAACCCCCTGAAACCCAAGGTCTTAAGGCCAAAATTGCAAGGAGTATGAAGAATCAGAGGATTGTTATAACAAGAGTTATAGTCAGTAGTCAGTAAGCAGACTAACATTTCTTTATTACTTCAATGCCCTAGTTACTTTATTAAGATATATATTATTCTGACAGGCCTGTGTCTGATCTTCTCAGCAGATATTATTGAGAACTTTGCTTGAACACTAACTCCCATTATTTGTGTAAATAATATCGTTACACATGTAAGAACTTAATCTGTACAAGTCAATAATCCATGTATCATGATTTATAGTTAGCCTACACTTGTTTAATCTCCATTTATTAATTGTGTCTTCAATACATTAGCACGGGCTAAATTAATGACACTGTAAACAGAAGGACCCCTATGCTTCAGGAAAATGATCAATAAGATTCTTTACTATAAAATGACAAAGGTGACCAGAGGCAGATAAAAAATAGATTTAGGAATGGGTTTGAGGATTGCATTTTAAGCTACCTCTAGTCTAAAAATAATTAGTTCTGACAACATGGCTTTACCAAATACACACCCTCCTGAAGGAAACCTGGGAGATATGGGCACTGTAACTAATTAAATGGTGCCCAGCTATCAGAAAGAGTAGTCTTTGGGATCTTAAAGGCTTGTTTTCAAACCAGCAGCTATTTCAGTGAGATGTCAACTAAGCCCACATGGAAGAAGCACACCAACATCTGAGACCCAAGGAGTGAAAAGATATAATCCAAAATTGAAGGAGGGGATGGCATCAGAGCTTAAATTGTGAGATTCTGGTTCACAGAACTATGGGAGCACATAATTCATTCGCAGAATCTATGCATGGAAAAAGTCTCTGGTGAGTCCCCTCGGACCATCAGTGAGGGATAAGAGAGTACTGGAGAGATGGCGATAGATTAAAATGATAAATCTTACTTGAATGGTTAAGCCGTTGCCAGTTGAGCTCCTTTTGGATACATTTTTAGCTTGATCTGGTGTTTTATAGTTTCTGGTTTTGTTTTGTTTTTTCAGGTTGGGGTTTAACTCTGCAGCATTTTGCTATTGTTGATAGCATTCTTGACTCTCAGTTATGGATCTTTTTATAGTTTTCTGTATATGAAACCCAGGTTGGGTTAATCTATAGCAATAATAGAGTAAGGGTTCTTGGGGGGTAAACCGCTTGGGAGACAGAGTTTGAGGGGGAGCTGGTATCAAGAAGTCCCAGAAGGAAGAGAATGTTTTGAAAATGATCATAATAGCAATTGTCCAACTCTGCTTGATGTGACTGAACGCTTAGATGGCATGATGTATAGATTATGTCCTTATAGGACATATCTATCAGGATTATGTCCTGATGTATAGATTATGTTTCAATGGAAAACAATGGAAGAGAATGCAGAAAATATTAAAAACTAGAACAAATGTACAATTGATCATAAGGGAGATCAAATGATAACATGATAAATTTAAACCTAAGTGCATCTGCAGTAATTCACTTTTCCATGCCTTCTGCATGATAGCGAGGCTATTGACATGCTTGGTCTGTGGTCAACAGGGATTCACCTGGGGTTTAATCCCAGTATATTTAACATGGTAATTTTGGTTGATGGACCTTCCCTGATAAGGCTACCTAATCTCTGATCACAGCCCTTTCATTTAAATACAATTATTTTTGATTCTTGGTATGTTAAAACAATGATAATCAGTGTTCACACTGTGATGTGCACTGGTTCATTCCTTTGTGCATGCATTTCTCCTGGAGCATGTATGACTATGAAACTTTTCTCTTTCTTCCTCTGTAGGAACTAGGAAGTAACAGCCCTCCACAGAGAAACTGGAAGGGAATTGCTATTGCCCTGCTGGTGATTTTGGTTGTCTGCTCCCTCATCACTATGTCCGTCATCCTTTTAACCCCAGGTAATCCGTCTTTATCTCTTTTATGATGGCGCTGAGGACGGTACAAAAGGACTTCACATTCATGTGCCTGTAGAGGTAGCAGTATGTGGTGTATTAAGGCAGGTTAACATTGGTGGGATTTAAAAAAAATGTCCAAACAGACATTTTGCTAATTGCACAGTAAGTGTGTTGTTCTATGATGCAGTCTATTTTAGAAGGTAAAAATATAAAACATCTATAAATTGATAATTCTAGAGATCTTTGCTCTCCATTGCTACAAAGAAACTTATATTTGACAGTTTGAGGAAGACATTTGACTTTATTTTATGGGTAGAATATGAGAAAATTAAGTATAGAAGTTCATATATGTGGATTTTAGGCCAACTTTGATAAATAGGCTTTTAAGCCCATGGAATTCAGATAAATTGGTTCTATGGCGTTTTGGTCAACCTCCCAGCTCATTGCCCTTAGATGGTCTTTTAAACCTTGGGCCTGTAGAAAGCTGACTTCCTAAAGTCACCTTTAAACCAAACAATAGCCTACTAAATAGCCTAGTAAAGCCCCCTTTACCTAGCCCTAGAGCACAGGGCTCTTTTGAAGAATGATCGGTGTGCAGCTAGTTTGGACAGACTGAAATTTCAAGATCAGACTAGAAACCGTGTATGAGGGTAAGTCAGTAATTACTGGAACTTTCCTTTTAAAACTGCTGTATGAAAATCCTTATGGACTACAATGGATGGTTTCTAATCAATTCTATTCCAGAGTTGTTGTTTTTCACTGGGGTGATAATGATAAGATAATGAGGATATGAGGGATGTTAGAAGTTCTTTCCTCTCTGGAACAGTTTTGATTCTCAGTCGGAAATGAACTTTGAGCACTTTCTGTTGGTGACTTAACATGGTATTTGTTTTAACACATTAATATCACTGGAAAGAAGGGCTTTGGGGGATTAAAAGATAAGCTCTAAAGACAGTGATCACAGCCTCTTAATATTGACATCTATTTCTTCTTTCTCCATTGGTTTTCTTTCTATAGATTTTTTATATTTATGATTTCTCCTCTTTCTAAGAACCTCTCTCCAAATTATCTTCGCAATTATCATTGAACTCTGCACTTCAGAGTTGCTGTAGCTAATTCCACCCTTTAAAGAACTATTGACTTTTTTTAGGAACATGTATTGCAGGGAGATACCAGCTCACAGTGTAAACTAGTGACTTTGATAAGAAAGCTTATAGAAGGAACATATATGGTCCACTGAACAAAGAAAATATAAGATCACCAGGAGAACAAGGTAGGAGATGAGGGATGGGCTTCTATTTGGTTCAGATTATTCTAGACATTAATTTTAAGGTATAATTACAGAAGTTTTCAATCATAGTTATGTGTCTTTCTGGGGGGTCATAAAACATCACTGGTGGATGTTAAACAATTTTAACCAGATGTCTCAGGGATTTGTGATGTTTATGATAACAGGAGCTTGCTTCCCAGATACAGCTTGGTAAAATAAATACCTTTTCAGGTTGTCTTTGGAAACGTTAGATAATGATGACTCCAGAACACTTATTAAAAAAACAAAAACAAAAAAACATTTCAGGGGTCCATTTTACAAAAGAGAGACACTTGTGACAAAATTTTCACCTTAGATTGTTTTCCTTTCACATCCTGGCTTACCTGGCTACTAGCAATTAGGGAGCCAAATGTTAGCTTCCTCTGTGAACAACGAGACAAGTGTGAGAGGCAGACATGTGTAATTCAGAAAAATTCAATTGAATTTAATCATTTAGTTCTGGCCAAACAGCTTCATGAACTTCTTTATTACTCCCTCTTTCTACCAGGGATTTCATTGAATATCCTCTGATCAACCAAAGAAGGTTTTTTTTTTTTTAGGAAATTCTTTATGTATGGACTTACTTTTAAATTGCCACTGATCATATTACTCCTTGATGTCTACATGGACTAGCAAACTTCTACCTTGCTATTAGGGAATTCAGAACAATTTGACCTCATGTAAACCCACAAAATACATCTTTTTCCAGGTGTTTCTAGCTGTCGAGCAGCTTTTTTCTTTCTCCCGTATGGACCAAGTTATTGTAAAATTCTTAAGATACTTAGAAGTATACTTTGTGATTCAGAGAGCCTAAGGGCCTATACACATGGTTGCATTAAATTCAATATTACTCCCATACATCAGGGATGATTATTGTCTCCATATGCATTGGATTGTACATGGACACGAAGCTTTTCTCTGGTTTAAGGCTCAGTGGTTAGTTCCAAAGAGTGTTTAACAATTCTAACTACAAGGACTATTAACATTAAAATCATGACCCTAGAGAATCCAGTTTCCCTAACCCATTTCCCTAACTCACATTTTTGTTGTTTTTACCATCTTGTCCAACTTCCCCAGAAGTATGTATCCAATACAACAAGAAGTATTTGCAATATTATGAGCCTTGCAAGGGAAATCCAACTGGTAGTGTAGTGAAAAGTTGTCAGAAACCACCTTCTTGAAAGAAATTATTGTGTTAACCATCACAGGAAGCTTGAGCGAGTAATTAATTATGGGCTACTACACCCACCTGGTCCTATTCTGATGGACAGTCCCAGGCCCACCTGGCATGTCCAACAGCTGTGACTATTGACGGGTCTGAAAACAGCTTGAACTGATGCAATGAACAGAGTTCCCTGGCAAGAGTTAATGTGCGCCTTGGTGAGCAGGATCCTGGCCAGAATGATTAAGGAGAGCTTCATAGTGTAGAACCACAGCTCAAAGGAAGGAAATAAGATATACTATTATATGCATGAATAAAGAATAGATATGATAAAAAGCTAATAACAAAAAGGGACAAGTTTATTTCAAAACTCATGTGTCTTTTTAATTAACCTCTGTCTGCCCTTAGTAGTAAAGTGTTAATAAAGGAAGTATTGAAGCTGGAAGCAATAATAAAGAAAACAATGAAAATTCAAAGCAAATGAGGTAACATGGATTCTAATCCCAGATTTGTCATTGAAATATAACTATTAATTCAATGTAGTGGCTATATGCAGAGGGCTGGGTGCACAGGTGAAGGACAATATATCAAATCAAGGAATGGATTGACACAATTTGAGTGCAGTAAGATGAAAGGAAATGGTAAAACTTGGAAATTCAAATTCCCCATACTTCATCTGCTAATTTTTTAACATTCAAAAGTTTGAGTTTTTAGTGGAAAAACTATTCTAAATGCAACGGAAGTTGAACAAAGGACTACTCATGCTAAAGTTTCCATCCAATCAAAACCCCAATTATGGGCAAGTGTTTTCCAATCATAGCAACCCTATGGGCTAAAGTAGAATTGCCTGATAAGGTTTCCAAGGTGGTGAAATCCTTACAGGAGGATTAAAACCAGTGGGCCAATGGGTTAAAACGCCTAAAGTGTTTGGTGAGTATTCAAGCTCTTTAATTACTAGGCCAGTATACCTTTGTAAAGACTTTCCAGACAAGCCATCATTTAAAATTATAATTGTGAAAATATAGCGCCATAGAAGAATTAGCTTCTTAAAGCCATCAAAATACCCACAGTTGAAAATTATCCTCCCAGTGACTAGAAAAATCTCAAAAATGTTAGCAATCTCATTTAAACAGCTTATTTCAAAGGTTATAGTGACAGCAATTGTAACCACTGAAACAGGACAGAATTTCTAATTTCACTGCAGGTGAAATTCATCTCAGTGACCCCAGCTATCATCTACTTCTTTTCCTGGCAATGTTTGGATTTTAATTTTAATCCTTCCTGAGGTTCTATGGCACAGTCAGGCCATGGGTCCCTCTTCAACGGTATGTTCAAGAATTGAAATAAATGAATGCAAGTCTTGGCTTCCTATAATTGAGGGGGATGTGGATTTGTGTGCAAGACGAAGTAAGGTCCCTTTGATTAAAGTTAAAAGGAACCGCTGGTTGATACATGTTCTTCTCGATATAATCCCAAAGAAAAAAGAGGGGTACCAATAGGATTTATAATATTCTCACGGATAAAAGCCTCTTTAAGAAGGGTGGCATGTCCTCTACCACATACATCAAAGGTGGGCGATCATCTTACAAATCAGCTCGAATGAATTGAATCTGCAATGACTGCGGAATATGGTAAGGTCATTGCCTGACTGACCCAGTACAACTTTTAAGGAGTTAGTTTATGGGAACCAAAGGAGTGGTTTTCAAATTCATTACCACCTGTAGCCAAGGTATTCCTATAAGGGAAGCCAGTTTAGCTAACAGGGTATTTTTCATTATTTGATTCGTCCTGTCACAAATACAGAAACTTGGATAAAATAAGGACAATGGAGTGTTTAAAATAGGAAACCTATAGCAGATAGCCTAGCTCCCTCATCCAGTCAAATGAGTTCCCGTGCAAGTTCGAAGGAAGCAGTCATCTGGGGACTCCCCACTTGGGCATTAGATTTTCTCATGGCTACTGTGTAAACAATTCAGCTGTGTCCTTTAAAAAGGAAAAATCTCAACCCAATATGAATACCTGTAGATTATAACTAGTACAAATGTATAATCATCAGTGGGTGCTAGATGGATAACACTTCTCTTACAGTCAAGCAATGGCCTGGTTGGCAAAGCATGCCTCCCAAAATGTCACAGCTTCATGCTGTTCCGGGTGAGGCTGCTAAACTCGGCTAACCTTTAAGCAGCTTGTGCAGCTCCTAGGTTCACAATTTTCTGAAAATGTCCCTCATGACGTTTTTATAATATCGGTATTGTCTTGTCTGTGATCTCTGGAAGGTAGTCACAAGGGGAATATGCAAAACTTTGAGGACAACAGATTTAGCATGGGTTGGTTGCACTTTCCCATATTAAAGAATTTTTGTTGTTAAATTTTTAACCTCTTTCATCCATTGTTCTACTTTCATTTGGCTGGCTAAACTAGATGGTCTTGTTCAGGGTCTTCAGATGTTATATTGTTGGCTATTCCGGTATTACAGAGAGTCTTTTATTATAAGTGCTGCATATGCTATAGAGGGGTAGACAGGACAATAAT